TTATTTTTACAGCAACATTTGTCTTTCCTCTCGTACTATGATGCCTCAATGTGAAAGTTCAGCATGTGGATGTATGAGGAGAGTGGTGGGGTGGGAGGATGGGATGGGTTTCCCCTTGGTTTACTGTTTGGTGAAACCAGGAACTTCCACAGATGGATTCCAGGCTTTAAATTTGCTTTAGTGAGAGAAAAGGGGAAGGTGGAGGAAAGGGATAACTAACTGGGGCACGTGAGCTGAATCTGTCTGTCTGCTGCACTCAGGACTCGGGTTTATTTCAAAAACTTCAGAAGGAATGAAATCAGTGTGTAAAAGTTGAAGAAATCTAATTGGAGTACTTCAGTAGGTAGGAGAAAACTATGTGATCACATTTATTTGTGCTGGGAGAGATGGAATTTTAAGTTGTCACAAGAAAGTTTATATTCCTTTTCTTAGTATATACAAATGGAAGAGGGAAAATATCCCCAAATCTGGGTGTTGCAGGAAGATGCTGTATGCAACATGGTTATAGACTATAGGTGTAAAAGAGATGTTGCTTCAAAATCTTTATTCTTTTGACAATGTGCTTAAGAAGTGTATTAATATTTGATGGTGCATTTTGTTCTTGCAGCAAAAATCTACAGAATTACTTTTTTTACCTGCCTAAAACATTGAAGCAGCTGAAGATAAAATTGGTACAGTAGTTGATTAAAAAAGAAAAACAAAATATAGTGGCAAGTAATCTTTGTAAAGCAATTAAAGAACTCAGGAATACTGTTGATCTTATTCTTCCTTTGAGATTTATATACATATTGTTGGATCTCTGGGAACAAATAAGGAAAAATGCTGGCGGTAAAATGAACTTTAAAATATGTGTGTTTTTCTTAGGACTTTCAATAACTTTCATACTGTTGTCTCCTAAAATAAAATTCAAGTGGAAAGATATCTTAGATTTTTGAGAATTGCCGTCTTAGCACCTTACATAGATTATACTTATATATATTTATATAAACAACTATAGGTATGCATATTTAAGTACCTTATGCTAGAACCTTGTATATTCAGTTTTACCTTCAAATAAGTTTTAGAATTAAGATATTACTAGTGTAATTTGCAGAATTGGGAATGCTGTGTAACAGTACATGTTTCTAAGTGAGTTTATTTAGGCTTTTGCCTATAATATCTATGAACTGCATGACACAAATTTTCCATTAAATTACTTCTTTCACTTTACATTAGCAAATAATGAAGAATGCACATAGAAAGCCTAAAGTACTTCTGTTTATGCAGCTTGGTTTTTTATGCAGCTTGTAATTAATGATTGGAATTTCCTATGTGAAGATAAGGCAAAATAAATAAACGGTACAAATAGGAATATTAGTGTGCAGCCTTTTTAAATTGCAATGTTCCTGTGTATTTAAAGAAGCTGCCTGATCTCAGTTGGGGCTAATGCAGGATAAAACAAAGGGCAAGTAAGAAATATGTTCCCATCTGCACTCACTGTTTAGGAAGAGTGAGAGAGATTTTGCTAGTGTAGGGTATATGACCCAATGAGCAGGGAACGTTCTTGAGTCATGAGACTGGAAGAAGCTAAAGGAGGAAAATAGACTGACAGCTGTTAGGAAGTATGGAAATAGTTGCATAACTGAACAGTCACTGATTATTTTTTATACTATAATAGTAAGATCTAGATTTTGGTATGAAATTTCAATGTTTACATAATTGAGGGAAGTCTGGCCCCTTGCTAAAACTCCAGCTGCATTTTGCTTAACTGACTGTGGGCAGCCACACAGAAGCTTGGTCATATTGATACCACTGAGATTTTCACAAAATGAATATTTCTAGAGCGAAACACTAATTAGAGGCTTTGTAAATACTGACAGCATTTTACTTATCTGCCCTTGAATATGTACATATCTAGCTGGGTCTGTAGATCTGTGTGCAATTTATTCAAACCAAAGAGTTCAAGATATGAATGCTGCTGTGGCACAATAACTGTGTTATCAAAATAGGTATTGTGTAATACGGTAATGGAAGTTAGTAAGCTTTTTTTTTTTGCATACCATTAAAATATTTAATTGTCCCTCAGTAAAAAGTTTTAGCTTAATAAGGTCTAAAACAGAGGCCCATGTAATGAGCCATAGTAGTGAAAATAGATAACTGGGGATCAAATCTCTATCAAAGTGATCAAGGAGAGGTCTTAAGAGAGTCATTAACCCTCAGTAATATATACAGAAAAATTAATTAAATCCCAGACAAAATTTAATCATGAAGAGGCATATAAGATGCTTACAAAAGGCTTTTATTTGCTGTGTTTTCATGCATGACAAACTGCAGTTTCCCTTATGTTAGAGGTGCTTATTAAAGAAAACTGTGATGTGCAGAGGCATGAGAAAGTTTCTTCAATGCACCAATCCCAACATTTTGTTTTTGTTAAGGACCACATAATATTTGGAACCTTTTTTGTTGCATAGAGACCTCAGTTAGACCTAGAATCTCTGTGTTACTGCAGTGCTAATAATAGTAAAGATTGCCCATATCTGATAAGTGTCTTGAAATATAGGAAATGTGGCTTTATTCTCCCCACAGGAAAAGGTTCCAAAGAACACTTCAAGAGCTACAATTGAGCTTGGTGTGGTGATACTTGGAAATGAAGTTTTGCTCTTGCCTGAGGGTAGAATATAGATTCAAGCAGAGGATTTCTATTCATTCCTTTCTGTTATTTACAAGACCTAGGATAATATTACACACACTGTTACCATAAGAACCTGGAACTGAACCCTACGCTGTAATGTTGGACTATCTGTAGCCTTTCTACTAAATTGTCTTTGCAGATCTGAGTTACTGTATAAGATAATGAGTTGTTAACAGTGCCATTAAGTTTATGTGTGTCCTAGAACTGGAAGTTATCCATAACTGGTTTGTTCTCATTTGTTTACTGTACTTAAACGCAACATGGCTTAATTTTGTACTTTCCAGCTGAGAGATTTTGATTCCCATTTCCCACAGCGTTGGGCTTTGTCAGTTTTATATGGCAAGTGTTTTTATTACTGCCCAACTGGCATATTTTTTTCATTTGTAAATGAATGCTTGTTCTTACCTATGTGTATTGTGTACAGATACCATTACCAAATTTTCCTTTTAAATTGATGTGTGGGTAGGGAATTTCAAGGCTAGAAGGGAATCTTAGAGGCAAAACTACCATTAATCTTACACTGTGAGTATCTTGCTTTTAGTTGAATTTTAGATCATGGTAAATATAGCTGTTTGAATCAGAACAAAGCATGTTTGTGAAAGCAGAGCAGTAAACAGTTCATTTTGGTTATATGCTCTACATCAGTGTCAAAGTCTTAACAGCTTTGTGTTCAAAGCCTGCATGTTAAAAGCTAAGGGGAAAAAATATGAATTTAAAGTGCTACTTTAAATTGCATACAGTTAGAAAGCCTCCATGTTGTCAATAAAATGCACTTACCCAATTCCTCCACAATTAGAAACCTTTTTTTGAGGAAATTATGCTCTGTATTTCTCACTGTCTTTGGTTTTGATTTTTTTTTTTCTAGGAAGGTTTTCAAAATGGATGGCTGGAAACCTCTTCTTCTTCTTCTCTGTGTTTCCACCTGCTCTATAGATGCACAGGAGACTGGTAATACATTAAAGAAATGATTCTTCAAGTTGATAACAAAACTGGTTTTTTACATTTATGCCCAGTGTCAGAGAGATGTGATGAATTGATGAAAATGTATTCTAACTAGGGATAATGTGCTTTTATGAAACTTATATTTGTAAGTTTCTATAATAGGAGAGTTGTCATGAAAAATGCAAAATTAAATGCAACAGCTCATTAAAATCTGGTTTTGTTCGTGAATGCTGAGATTTCATATTTTCCAAAGCAACAAAAAACCTTTAGCAGTATGACTGCTAAAAGCAAGATAAGTCACAGGATTTAGCAGTTCCATTTTGGTAGTCAGGTCTTCTGGAAGATCTGTTTGAGAAAGTGTTCTGTCCAGTTGCAGGACATTTTCTGCATGACTGTTGGTTTGAGGAAATAATAAGTGTTTTATCCATGCTGTACTAATGTCATATGCTTCTGGAAGGTGTGGAAACACATGAATTTAATATTCACTACAAGGAAATGTGGTTAGTACTCTTCAAATTGATGTGACCTTATTTTTTGCCCCTCAGAAAACAAATATTTATTAGTAATGTATGTGTGCACAGTGGAGTTCAAAGTGCACGAGTAAGGTTTCCTTTGCTCACTTGACAGCAGGCAAACACATTCTCATGGTTGTGTTTCATATAAAGAAGTGTGTAATACGCATTTACTACAGACAAGTTCTGAGCAGGCTGTGAATGGAAACTGTGTTGTGGATTTCAGCATCTCTCCTTTTCCTGAGAATGGTGTTGCAGAAGGACGTGGTTTCTGACCCTCTGTATGATAAACAGAGGAAAATAAGGAAGTAGTGGTTGCTGAGAATTTAGTTGAAAAGGTTTTTTTGTAAAAGGCCAATAGATCTTGGATTCTGAAAAGCAATTAGGATTCAAAATTGCTCTTCTATTAGATTATACAACCTTTAGGAGAAGAGGAAAGTTACAATGTACTTTTTCAGTCTGTAAAAAAGCTTCTGTGACGGACAACATCTCCTGGTGGATGAATTCTGGACTGCAGGGATAAAGAACTTCAAAATCATTCAAGATACCTTTTACACAATGGTCAATGGCTTTGATATTGGGCAAGACAAAATCTGTGTTGGTATAATTCAGTACAGTGATGTGACATACACTGAATTCTTGTTGAATATTTTCTGTAACAAGAATGATTCCTTATAAAAGATACAGAAATTTTGTTACAAAGAAGGAGGCACCAAAACTGGGCAGAGCCTCCATTTTATGCTAGAGAATCACTTTGTAGCAAGTGTTGATAGCCAAAAGGATGAAGGGGTTCCTCAAATTTATCTGGTGATTACAAAAAAAAGGCTGAAAATAATGTTCAAAACCCAGCCACAGCATTCAAAGATGCTGGCATCATGTACACCACAGGTCCGAAAGGATCTGCTTTGTCTGGGCTCCTAGAAATAGCTAATGAGCCAGCTGATAAGCGTGCCTATGAAGTGGAAGATACTGCTTCTCTGCAAGGACTCACAGTAAATCTGCAGATGCTTTGTACTGTGTTAGAGGAGATAATTGGACCAGCCACCCAGGTTGTCCATGGTATGGCCTGAAAGAGCTGTTGTCTTTCCAGGTTTATTTTTCTCTATCCACAGACTAAGTACATGAAATTGCAGTGTGTTGCCAAAATACAGGTTTTAACTTCTTGCATCTTCCATATATTGCTAACTAGCTTTCAGTAATATCGAGTCATAACTGGTAAAATTTGAGTGCCTGTCTACCATTAAAATATTCAAAATAATGGTGGTAGGGGAGAAGGTGAGGTGAGGAGGGGAAAGGCAGAAACAGGCAACACAGTTGCAATTTATTTCATGAATAATAAAATGTACACTCAGTTCTTCCTTGCTCCTGAACAAAGCCGGAGAAGGAGCTATAGTAATTAATTCTTCTATCTGCCTTTTCTTGGGCAGTTAGCAGGAAAACCTAACTAGATGTTGTCTCTTTAGTGGATACCTCAATGACTATTGATCAGGAAAACTTTAACAAGGTGAACTCCTCCTCTTCACCTTGGTTTCAAGTTTTGATGTTGGCCTTGGTGCAAGGCCAAGTTGGACTGGCACAATACAGTGATGAGACTTAACAAGAACTCTTGCTGAATCAATATTTGAAAAGTGATGTTTTGGAGCAGATTGATAATTTACTGTAAAGGAGTGGAAAAACTTAAGTAGGGAAAGCTCTGGGTTTTTTAAACCGGTGTATTTCACTCAACCTACAGAAAGCAAGGCTAAGGGTTTGTTACACAGTTAATGATTCTAATCATTGGTGGAGAATCCAGTCCTGAAGTTGAATTGCCTGTCAGGAAACTGAGGAACATCAGAGGCATTCCCCTCTGTGTTGTTGGAACCAGTGTGCAGGATACAGCTAATCTTCAGCAAAGAGCCAGCAAACCTTTTGGTAGGTATCTGTGTAGTGCTGGTAGTTTTGATGACCTTCCAGATCTCTCCACAAGACTTTGGGGAAGCTTCTGCTTTGGTGCTGGTTTTGCTGTCATTTACATCAGTGTTCTTGTCATGTAACATGACTGAAAACAATAGGGCTAATTTTGAGTTAGGTTGCAGTTCAGGCTGACCTCCCTTTTTATCACATTTCAATGTCTGCACTGAATTCAGAGAGGTTTAACTGGTAAAATAGGAAGGTAAGCTTGTGCTCAGTCCTCTCTGAAGCTGAGCCTTGATGTATTGTAAAGAAAATCAGGGTCAGATTCACAGATTCTGTGGTGTATATTCAGCTCCTCATTCAACGTGTTTTTTTTAGAGTGATGCAGGGGAAAGGAAAAAAAAATTCCGCCTTGTTTTTTTTTTTTTAGAACAAGTAAACCTATGACAATATTTGGCTTCATCTCAGAGCTGGTGGAGTCATTTTTAGAAAATGGATGTAATTGAACAGTTGAACAGGGAATTTTTCTTGATTAAGCTATGCTTTTGGTAACTTTTAATTCCTCCAAAAACCTAGTTCATAAATTGAACATTCTAGGAGTTACAAAAATGAAGGGAAGTCATATTTTCCTGTTCAATACATTTGCTGAACAGCAAAATTTGCAGAACATGTATTTTCCCTGTTTCTTTAAGGACTGCTATTGTTGAATGGTGAAAGGGGGAGGGATATAAAAGACGTGAGAAATAAAAACTAAAATCAGAACAAAAAAATGGTGTTCAAAATAATAATGAATGTTTAAAAGGTAACATAGTTACAATTTTAAATTTTTACCTTTTTTCCTGATTTTGCAGAGTTCAATGTGGGTACCTCCACTAGTTTTTCCTCAATGAAAAGGAAAAGTTAGGGGTTACATGCTGTGCTGGTAGTTGGTCACCTTTTTGCCACTGCTTTTACCCTAAGTTTGCAGCAGTCTTGTGGCAGATCTTGTATTCCTGATGCAAGGATCAGAAAGCATATAAAAAACTTTTCTGTCACAAAGACCTTCGTGAAGGAAGTTGTGGACAACTTTTTTATTTCTAGGGACAAAGTAGTTGTTGGAGTAGTCCAGCACAGCCCAGAGCCCCACAAAGAATTTCCTTTTAATGAGATCTACAGTGGCACCACGATAAAGGAATGATCAACAGAATAAAGCAATTGCAGTCTGCTGTGGTTTATGGCAAAGGCCCGAGGCTTGTCCAGAGCCTTTTTCAGTGACTACTCTGCTGACAGGGTAGAGGATGCAGCAATGGCTTTGAGTAGCAATGAGATCCATGTCTTTGAAGTTGGCATAGGGATTATAAATTCCCTTTGAGCTGCTTTTAATAGCTGATGATGCAAGGGGAATGTTCACAGTGGAAAGACTTGACGCACTGAAACCCATTGAGAGGAATATTGTCAATCAGGTCTGTCAATCCAAACGTCTCCTGGCCAGGGTGAGAAAAAAACATTTTGTTGGATGTATAATGGCTTTGTGCAGTCCCTGATAAAAGTATCTCAGCTGGATGGACAGCAATCCAACTGTTTAACCAAAGAATACTTCCCATGTTACTCCATTTGCAACTCGCAACTTGCACCTTGCTTCAGTCAAGAGCCACTACACTCCTTGCTATGGTAAATAGCTTGAGGTAAGACAGTACTTCACATCTAGCTTTCATATTCATAGCTGCTCAGTGTCTGAGAGGAGCCAAAGCAGACATCCCCAGTGAGTATCTTAATCAAAAGAGGGTAACAGACAATTCAGTGATATTTAAAGAAGAGCCTTTCAGAAACCTAACTTTGTCATCTACAGCTGACCATACTGCTTCATTGGGACTGTCAGCAGCAACTGTTGACAAAACTGAAGTCTCGCAGAGGCTCTATGGAGAGGGGGTGTGAGGAAATCCATCCTTGGATATGTGGGACGTATTGGCAAGATGTGAACAGCAAACCCACAGTAATGCTGAGATGCTACCCAAAAGCTTTTCCTAGATAAGAAACAGAAAGTGGTATCTCTTACTACATCTTCTTGATGGCAAGAATGGCTTGGCTGCCACACAGCCTGAGAGGCTGCCACCCCCAAGGAAAATAAAGGTTCAGTATTGCCTTTGATTAAAATAACAACTTCTATCAGATGTCAGATGCTGGTTTTTTATCTGAGTTTATTCTGACATAGTGCTGCAGTATCAGTCGCCTTGTCCTGTGGGAAGACTGAAGCAGAGAACATAGACAGTAGCTCTTTAACATTACATATTCATGCCAGTTATGTAGTTAGATAACACTGTAGATGCATTTAAGTAGCAAAAAGAAAAATGGAGTGAATGACAAATCAAAAAGCTGGTCTCTTCCTCTACTGATGGTGAGGGGGACCTGCTGTGGTGTAAGTGCATGGCATTGATTGGACATAGCAGGAAGAGACTTCTGGAGTGTTTTTTCTCTCTGTGCTCGTGCTTACAGGGACTGTGACTGTCTTTTAAAGGTCCTTGTCTTCCCTGTGTTTTCACTATGTAGGTGATATTTTACATGTGTTGGATGTGTGCTTTTCATTCTCTGTTATGCCATAAAGCTGATCCAACCCAGTTCTCCAGGTTTCATTCCCCTAGTGACCAGAAACTTACTGTGAGAAAGGAACACTGGGATGACCACTCTGCTTGTCTAAGGCTTTTTGTAAGAACAGCTGAGCCTCTCCTGTACCCTAAGCTAGTAAGATCTTAAACATTCCAAAACTGACTACTGTTTGCTGGAGTGCTGGGGGGCCAAAATGAAAAGCTGAGCCTTCCCTCCTAAAGACAGAAGTGACTCTGTGTGAATTATGTCTGCTCAGGTGGTTTGCAGAGAGGAGGACAGCCAGACCTGATTCATTATGAGCTCTGCACCCCCACCCACCCTTCTTCCCATCAAGAGCTGAGCAGACCCCCAGATGAAAAGGCATCCCTCATCTCCTGAAAGTAGAGAGAGGGAGAGAGCTACTGTGGAAATAGAGTGCACTACCATGAAACAGCCTGACCGTGGCTGATGCAGGAGCACCTCCTGGTGTTTCATGGCCAGAGAACAGGGAGATTTAATGGGAGATACAGTAGTAAAGTTTATATATATACAGGCACACTTGTTTAGAGAGAGAGAAGTTAAGAACAGCATATTGGCTTTGATCTCAGTGATGCGTTTATTTATTACTAAGTTCTGCATAAATTTGTCTCATAGAACAAAGATCAACTTTCTGTGAAGACTGTTTTATCTTGTACTCTCATCTGTATTCTTATATTCACTGACCTTCTTGCCTGAAATAAAACTATTAAGTCTCCATTCTCCAGTCACCTTCCCATAAAATAACAGATCTTAAAAAAAGACATTTGAGGTACAGCATGTCAACAGGGGAAAAAGATACCTTTGCAACAGTAAGACGGAGAAGTTTAACAATGTGGATGTCTGTAGGAGAACAGGTGATTAGAAAAAGAGGTTGGCAACACAGAGGTGTTTACTCCTGAAAACAAATGGAGATTATCAAGAGAGTATAGAGTACACAACAGAAGCTGTTTTACACATTCTCATCCACAACACAGTAGCACAAGAAGTGAATGCTTTACTGCTGTTTTATTGTTATTGCTGGTACACTGGGGACTTGACAGAGAATGTTTTAAGAGCTAAGCAGTGTGGATTACCAATTGTCAGGGCAAAACTGCTGAGTCCGTGGTTGCCCTGCACACTGCCTCCAAACTATGTCATTAGAAAGACCCAGGTTTTAGAAGAATCTCATTTTGAAAACATACTCATTGTGTCCTGGACATGAACACATACCGAAAGAAATATCCATTAAATATTATGTTCATGAACGTGTGTAGATATGTGTGCATGTATAGATATATTTAACTGTTTGTCTTGTTTTGGACTAAACAGATAAGGTATAGATTTTTGATGTTGCTCTGAGGCCTGAATGTCAGATATTTTAGCCATAAAGACTCATTCAGTGTGACCTTTTGCATTTAAAAATTCTCATGCTGCTTTCCAGCAGATCATGCCCTCTAGGGGGCACTTTGTACCACAGGTGAGTATGCTGAAATGTAACGATGGTCACTTTGAGGTGAAATTATTTCTAGATGTATTTGGTTAAAGAACTGAACACATTCATCTTTTTCATGAGAGAGGGAAAACTCAGAAAACTTGGAATAATGGTCTGTAGGAACTAGCCCAGACTAGCAAACCAATATTGAAAACAACCTTGTGATTGCTAAGTGTTTCAGAGGCAATGAGTGAAAAAGGAAAAAAATTAGGTAGAGTGCTGTTTTACAGCTAAAATTGCTTGCCTCTGACTTCCTTGCAGAAGTACGACAATGAATATTAATGCATCTAGGAGCACAGCAGAAAAAACAACATGAGAAATGAATAATCAAGAAGAAAAAAGCCATGTAGTTTAGCTGTTTAATGAGGGCAAGATGACTGGGGAGAGGGAAGGAATTAACCACATCACAGTATTTGCTGTTATTATAAGGAGCTATACAAGCAATTCCTCACCTTACAGCAGCTGTTTTTCACAGTGGTTATATAACACTGCATATAGGCAATGCTGCCTCTTTCTCTCATATTTCTTTGGCCTGTTCTACATTTGTATGTATCACCTGGTCTTGTGACAAAGTGACAGACCACAGTCAGCCATCAAGCTTCCTATTGCAATTGGAATATATGTTGCATGTTCTCGGTAGCAAAGCTCACAGGAACATTTTCAAGATTAGGCCTTTTGATGACATTTGACGGAACAATGACATGTTTTGCAGATTGGGTATTGTGCAGACATCCAATAATGTGCTTCTTACTATTTTCAAGTTCACGTGGTCCCACTGAAACCTGTGGGATGATGGTATTTTATGTTTATGGAAAACCAGTCTCACTGATTCTGACTTCTGGTTTTAAATCTACCATATTGAATTTTGTTCCACTGCCATGATTCTGGCAAAAAACCCCAAGATCACAAATAGCGTATGTTTGTAGTTTCGTGTTTCTTATATTTTTTTTTTTTTCAGATTGCAACATAGATCTTTCTATAGCAGTTGATGCTTCAAGGCGCATGCAACCAGAACCCACAGTGCTCCTGAAACAGAGATTGCAAGCATTCCTCCCCAGACTTTTACTCCAGATGAAATCATTACCAAACACCAGCTGTAAAGCTCCAGTCAACATTAGATTCAAGTTCCAAGTATTGGCACAGACCAACCAATTAATCTTTGACTCTGGTTTTGAAGACTATAATGAAGAGATCATCCAGAAGTTCTTAGATGCACAGGCCACTGTGGATACCTACCTGAATACAGATTTCTTGCAGGCACTTGAGGAGAAGTTCTTTAATGTGACCTCTGCTGAAGTTAAGGTAATTTAATGGTATGAGCATATATCTTGGAAAGAAGTTACACAGTTTCATGTTTACAGTTCCTGATGCTGAATACTCCAGGGAGACAAAAATGTTGTTCCGGAATATGTGAATTTAATAAACAGAATCACAGAATGATAGAGATTAGAAGGAACCTCTGGAAGTCACCTTGTCCAACCCCCCTGCTCAAGAAGGGTCAGCTAGAACAGGCTGCCCAGGACCATGTCCAGATGGCTTTTGTGTATCTCCAAGAATGGAGACTCTTCAGCCTCTCCAGGCAACCTGCACCAGTGCTCAGTCACCCATGTAATAAAAAGTCTTTCCTTATTTTTATATAGAACCTCCTGTTTTTCATTGACCTGATATAAATATGTATTTCAATTCCAGCTTCCTAGGCGCTCCTGCAGTGAGATGGTACCCAGAATATTTTTCTTAATACATATGATGACAACTATTCGTACAGATAACCTTCTTATATCTACCATGAAATGTTTGTACTTTGAGTAGTGGAAAGTTGTTCTCTTTTAGGAATTCCTAATCCTGATGCTATATCTCTGTCCAGAACAGTGACAACTCTAAGCAGAAGTCACAGAAAAAGGTCATCTGAGAAATTTGTTTATGGAGGTTTATTCATGTTGTTAACTTATCAAATAATTTCCAGTAACAAAGCTGAGTTCTACTTAAGGGTAACTGATGATAAGGAAAATCTGCATAGATGCAGTTTATTCATCCATCTTGAAGTGAAGGGAAAAGTATAAAGCTTCATTTAATCTCTTCTGACACAAGCAGGGAGTCTTTAAACTTGGGTTCAAGAAATTTAGCTCTCATTGGAGTGTTTCAGGGTCAATGCCCTGACAATTTATCCTTAATAAGGCCCTAACACAGTAAAGCACTGAGCATGTCCTGTAGTAGCTGTTGAATGTTATCACTTACTAGGGTCTCCATGCAGTAGGACCTTCCTACTGAAGAAGGACCTTGCAAAATACATAAGGGGTTTCCTCTTTCAGCCTTATTTTAACTTCTATAATATGTTAATTTTAATATCATGTGGAATGAGAAAGCCAAATTACAGATTTCCCTGCTTTCAGATGAAAGTTGGTATTCCATTTTTTACAGCATTTGCATAGGTGTGGCTTATCAGTTTAGGTTGTAATTTGCTGCATATTTAATAGCATTTTTTCCCAAAGATCTCTTAAAATGTCTGAATGGGGAAGATGACCACATAAGATTTTGCTTCTTATGAGCCTGAGAGAGACAACTTGTTTGACATACCAGTAAAAAGCAGTGCCTTTTTCCTCCTAATTGCCAATTCTGAAGGTTAGAGTCAAACAAGGCTTCTTTCTGCTTATGCATTATTACTAGAAATAAAAATGCTGCATATCTCAGGAGTTTACCAATGGATTAATATTTCTTTCTGATACTGTTTATGTGCAAATTGAAAATAGAAGACTTTAGAATGCAAATCAAATCACAATTTAATTTCCCTAGGATCCTGAGCAATAATATGCTTGTTCTGTAATGATTATTAGTTATAAACCTCATCGGGGACAGGGATTCGCTGTTGTTTGCATTTCTTCTTTTCTTTATTATTTGTTTGTTTTGCACCAAAAGAGTTGGACATGATTCCAGCATTTTTTGACAAAACAATAATAACAAAACAATAAAGAAAAATAGAACAAAACAATAAAGAAAAGCTTTGTAAACATAATTTTACATATACTTACATATAATGGGTGCACTGACACCCCATATTCCCTGCTCCCCAAGTTTTTAAAATTAAAAGATTCTAGGAAAAAACCATCAAGCCCAGGCCTACAGTGTCATTCCTGACAGTCTGTGATGTGTTTAACCCTCCATGGTCCAGCTCTCCTATGTATCACAATTTACTTGAGCAAATGTAGAGTCAGTACCAGTGCCTCCATATGGGATGTTTGAGAACACTACCAAAACCAGTGAGCTCTGCCTGTTCTTAAATTATTGTCTCCTTGCTGCTTTAGCACAGAATTGGAATGTTTGGTGTGGTAGTCACTTTCTTTGCCTCTGTCAGCTGCAGAAAAATTTATCTTAACAGGAGCAAAAGGGTTTGCATTGGTCAAAGCTGTGTCTTGTATAGGGAATGTAAAATATGAAGAATAGGAGGGAAGAAGCTCTAGCTGTGCTTGTCCATTTGTTGGTCAGAGAGTATAGGAGGACTTGAAGTCATTACCTCTGGGGACAGGAGACAGTTTAGCTGTGCAGCTTCTTTCTGCACAGCTGATGAGTGGGTCCTGAGAAGACTTCTGCTCGTTAGAAGAGGGAAGGGGAGGAGAAAAATAGGAAGAGACTGGTAGCTCAGAGGGGAATTGTAGAAAACTATGCTATCCTCCATTGGGAAGAGGCTTAACTATAGGTCTTTGGCCTGAAAAGGTGGAAATGTAGCCAGTACAAATGATTAGCATCCGTAGGTGAGCTAAGCCTTATGCCTTAACAGGATAAAATATGGCAGAGAGTGGAGCAGGGTAATGTACTGCCTTTGTGGAAAGGGCAAGGAACATAAGCATCTGTGGGGTGGAAGGATTGGACCTAGAGAGGATACACCTCCTGGTGTGGCTCAGTGACAGCCAGCTGGAGCTACTCTTGCAGAAAGGGGAAAATTTGTTTGCTCTAAGTTCTTTTCCACATTCACATAATGGAGAACTCTTCAGACATCAGAAAAAGTTTTTCAGTGGATAAGTCACAGCAGCATTGGCCTTCCTGGCATGCTAAAAAGATGACAGACATAATAGCCATGCTATGAACTGTTCACCAAGACAAATCCCTCAACTTCAAGTGCTGTCAGGGAGAACAGACTTTTGTGTTCTGTTCTCCTTGCTCCTCAGCACTTTTTTCCTGCACATATTTCAGATCTACACAGCGAAGTGGAATTTGACCGCCTTGTAGCCAGTTTTTAATGCAAACTATACTTTTTACAATGACTGAACTTTCAGTCCCTTCACAATTGACTTGGCATTACTCCCTTTCCTGACAGGTTCTGTTAGTATTTTCAGATGGGCTGGATGATTCGCTGGAAGATCTCAGGAAAGCATCTGACTCACTTCGCTTTAAAGGTATTACAGTATGATGTTGGTGCTCCAGCCTCCTACTACCCAAGGCCCAGTGTATTGCTCCCCCACTGCAAATTTTCCACATAATGTTGCCTCTCCACTCTCACGTGGCATTCCTCAGGAGTCCCTGGGAGAGTGTTTGTTTCTCTATGTGAACCAAGGTACATGACTTGTCACTGTTCGTCAGATGATGGCAGAAAAACACACATAGGTGTGCTGAGGTTCTAGTTTCTGGGATCCAGCTTCAACAGCTGATGTGACTCAGGTCAGCCCCCTCTCACTGACGAGTACAGCACCAGAGGTTGGGCATAACTCAGACTTCTGCAGTGCAAAACACTAATATTTGGGCACTGAGTAGCAATCTGGTCTGACAACTGGGGAGAGAAGTTAATTGGAAAATTACTGGTCTGGATTTTTCTTTTAGACATTGTTCTCAATAGGTTGATTTCTTTGAACATACTGTGTTGAAGTGTAGTGTAAGTGTAAGTCTTTTAGAGAATTGCTGTTACTTAAAAATATATTGTTGGTTAAATAGTATATTTCAGGCATTCATTAATTAAAATCTGTGCTTATATTGAAGGTCTTGATGCACTCCTGTTAGTTGGCCTGGACAATACACAGAACTTGACTGAATTTTGGGAGATAGAGTTTGGCAGAGGCTTTGGATACAATGAACCTCTGAGTGTTGGGTTTGCAGAGATTGCAAGCATCTTGCAGAGAAACCTTGTAAGTCCTTCTGTAGTAAAAACAAATGGGAGAGAAAAATCAGTCTTTGCTTTATGATTAATATACATAAATGAAATGTTTCTTGTTGTTTTTCAGGATACTGTTGCAGAAAGGAAATGCTGTAAGGTTATTTGTAAATGCCTTGGAGAAAATGGTGATCGTGGTGTCCGGGGAAGTCCGGGAAGGAAGGTAGAAGGTCTAACATAGACATTACAGAAGAATTACTTTATTTTTCAAAGTGCTTCTGTTTTTTGCAATATTTCTGAGCATGCATGCTTGTGCCCATGACCTTAAGTGTTAGGATAGTGTGCTTGGAGAACAATGCTACTTATTTTTTAAATTCTCATTTTTCAGGGAAATACGGGTTACAGAGGATCTCCTGGCCATCCTGGTGAGGAAGGTGGGGTTGTAAGTAAACATATTTCTTCCTGCTATTATGCTGACAGTTGGTGCCTGAGCCTGTCTGCACTTACTCACTGAGGATCCACCAGTGCTAACCTAAAATGTGTTTAAGCAACATGTATCTGCAGGTAAATATACAGATTTGATTCTCTGTGCTTCTGGACATCACGATAGTTAGTAATTGAGTTAAAACAACAACCCACCAGAAGTGAGTTAGTTATTCAGTTAAAAAACCCCTACCTTCAAGTACAAAGATTTCAATCGGAGGTTGGTATCGCAGTCTGAAACATGGCATGATAGCAAGAGCAGAGAACCAGGTGCAACTCAAATTAGTAACTGACTGCTCTTTTATAGTCAGTATGAAAATTTCCAGGTCACTTGCACTTGTGTCCTTAGCACAGTGAATGGTGATAGAATTCTGTCTTGCTTTAGTCTTATGTGATGAATTAACCGGTAACCATCATTGTATGGATGAGACTGAACATTTTGTTTTGTTTCTTAGGGGGAGAGAGGCCCAGCTGGTTTCACTGGGACTCAAGGAGACAGGGGTTGTCCAGGTGCTAGAGGCCATAAGGCAAGTATGTGACTGTGAAATATTTCCTAATTTTGTGTCCCACAAACCTGTTTTCTGTACTGGGGACAAATCTGGGGGCTGTCTTACTGAAGCATGGGTAGAGAGCAAGACCCAGCTGTAAGAATGGCAGACAGAGTTTGCTGTCTCATTTTGAGAGGTATTTTGCGTAACTGAAGCACGGTCAAACAGCTAAGGATGTTGCTGTCTAGGCAACTTGACAGTGACTTTTTCACCAACAGCTCCAGACTGGCCTTAGTTAAAGCTATAAAGCTTTAGGGAACAAGAATGAAAATGAGGGCTGTACTATCTCCCCACAGGAAAGGGGTAAATCCCATAAGCGGCAGTAGAGGGTTTTACGGTAGGAACTTACTGATACGGAGCCCAGAATGCCCTTGCACAGCAACCTATGGTGCCCTGCTTTTCAAGCTCAATAAAAGTACTTTCACCAAATTTCATCTGTGTTTATTTTTAATTTAAGGGGGGCAGAGGCTACAGAGGAAATCAGGTAAGTGTGTTCATGTCTGATCAATTTTCTTTGAGAACAGTGTTCTGCTTTCTTTAAAGTTCATGTTACCCTGTAAGAAAATATCAGCAAAGAAGGAAAACAGTGTAAGTTTCAGAGCATTTAATGTACTTTTGCTATGGTTGTCTAAGAATGAATTTAAGATACCTATCACATTAGTCAAAATAAACGGTCATAATTTTATTTTTATATCGTCACAGTCGTAGTTGATTTATTCTAACTAACAGGGATTTATTTACAGATTAATTTGATAATCTATTAAGGTGGTAATTCTTGTCAGGTGAATCTCATATTCTAATCGTTGAGGAAACAGAATAGAGGGGGGAAAAAGATTGTGAATAATATTTACTGTGGGTTTGGACAGCACTTTCACTAGATCATTGTTGAGACTATTGACATTATTCAATATTCCAACTTCTTTTCATGCTGTTCTTGTCATCCACTATTATTGCATGTCTCGTTTAACCTTTTAAACATACCTGTTCATCAAAGAGATATTGTCACCAATTCTTTAATAAAATGTGAAGCCTGGAAGACAGTGATCTGTAATGGCAATATTAGTTACCAAGCTACAGTAATTGAAATGGCATTAACTTGAATGCTTTTACACAAACCCACTTTCTAAAAAAGACTTGGGAGCCTCAAAGACTCAGAAGATATTTGTCTCCATAATTGAAGTGAGAAAGTTGAGTGTGTTTCTGATACCTCAGCTCTCTTTAAAGTCCTGCTCCGTACTAACTTTTTAATCTTCTCACATGTTTCTCTTTCCTTTTCCATTTTCCTCTCTGTTCTCTGAAGTAATTTATCCTCCTTTAAATATCCGAAACATCTGAATATAGAAGAGGGAGAGTCCTTGCTGATGATTTTGATTTGTCCAAGTTGAATAGTGGAGTAGAAATTACCAGGTGCACAAACCCTACTGAAATCCAACGAATATGTGGCATTGTGTCATTATATCTACTAATTTGATTTTAACTAAAAATACGAAACTTTCAACACATAAAAAATGTGATTCAATTCTGCCAACTTAGTAATCTTGAGGCAGTTTATTGAAGTCTGCAAGGCATTTTAGCATAGCTATTTGGAGAAAAAAAGGCAATTCTGAGTATTTAATGCTTTGAAGTTTAGCTCAGGTTTTCTGAGGTAGAAAATGAGTGATGAAAAAATAACACAAATAAAAATCTTGATTGCTGACTTAGTGCTCATAATTTTTCTGGAATACTTATTTAGAAATTCTTGTTTGTGACATATTAATCTAATCAAAATGTACAGCCAGCTATTTTTTCTTGTTGTACATACAGAATTGTTATAAATAAAACAAATTCTCTCTCATGAACTTCAACTAGGTGGTTTTGCAAAGTCAATTTAGCATCAAAATCTACGAAGCAGTTGTGTCTGTGGTCTCTCTCACAGTGAGAGTCCTGATGTCTTGTGCCGCTTTCAGTGGTTGGTTGAATATCATTTCAGCTTTCAGAGTAGTGGTCTCTGCTAAGTTAATTTACATCGGGTTAATTCCTTCATTTTTATCCTAGTAAAGAAAGATGGAAGAAGCTTATTTGGTCAGGTCTGAAACATTGTGAAGCATGCATAAATGAAATAAGGTTCTTACAGTTGTAAGTCTATTTAGATGCCTCACACAAGTTAACGTTGCAAATTCCTTAAAGAAGGAATGGATGTTTTGCGGGAAAATGTCTTCCATAATCAGTTGCAATATGGGGAATCACTTTTGCAGACAAAGGGAGAAGAAAAGCAATGTGTGTTTGAAAAGGAAGATGACTGCTATTTTTATAGCAAGCACCACATTGCTGAAAGAGTTATGAAGTTTATTGAACAAGTCGTAAAGTCTAGGATCAGTATTCTGTAATTTTTTTTAATCATGGTTATTCTTTCTAGCTTTTCAATACACTGTTCATGGTATGAAGCTATGTAAAAAAAGAAAAGCACAATACAAACACATGATGGTTGACATCAAAATTAAAAAGTTATCAGCATGATAGATCAAATACTAGTAGTTATAGTTTGAAATATATATAGGTAGTGAAGATGCTGCAGTTGAAAAAAGATTTGAAAACAAAAAGAAGGAAAACCAGAATTTAAATACTGATGAAAATCTATAGTTTTAATAAGTGTTGTTCTTATAAACTGTTCTTAACAAATAATTAAGATGTTCTTAATTTGTCAAAATATTAATTATTAATTCCAATTTATAGTTATTATTCATAATTATTCTTGCTAACCACTGAAAACAACTAACCTTATTCAAGTTTAAAAAGGCAGGCTGAACACTTGCTCAGAGACAAGTGGACTGATGCTGAAAGGGGGTTTTTTGCTTATTGCTACAGGGTGAATATGGTGAGAGTGGATTCGATGGCACTGATGGAGAGCAGGTAATCATTACATGTGCAGTGTTACTAAAGACACCTACCTCAGGGTTCAAAAGTACAGGTTTTATGGCTTTAATCCTGATCAGAAATTTCACTGTTACGTGTTTAGAATTGCATATCTGATTGAAGTTGGATTCTGCCAGATAAACCCTGATAACCACATTTATCAGAAAGAACAAACATTATTTTTTTCTTCTTTTTTTCCACTTTTGTGAGTCTAGGGAGAACGGGGATTTCCTGGACCTTCTGGGGAGAAAGGCAACAGAGGAAAATGGGTGAAGTACCCTTTACAGTAATGTTTAGGTTTTATGGAAACATCTTTCCAAAGTGTAATGCTGTCTGTAATTCCTGAGTTGTGTTTAATAGCTGCCTATTCTCTAATATGATGTGACTCCTGCTGTAAATCAGTATAGCTCCACTGACTTCAACAAATCTGTGTTCTCTTATCTGGCCTTCCTTTATGACAGATACTGTTTATACTTGTACCTGAATTGTTTGTGCTCTTTTTATGAATTTAGGGCAGAAAAGGCCCCAGAGGAGAACCAGGTGAACGAGGAGAATCTGGTCTAAGAGGAGATTATGTAAGGGTATTCCTTTATTTTTGTTATGTTGCACTGATTTGTGCCTGGATTTTGTGATAGTGACGTCTGAAATTTATATGATTTGAAGAGTTTTTCACAGTGCTAGATAAGTAGTACTCTGCAAGAAGCATGGCATATTCCAGGAGTCCTAAACTCTTTGTATGTAGATGGACTGATGTGTTTTGATATGTTGCTTGGAAGCAGGTGTTTAAGCCTCAGGTCTCCTGCTTGTTCCTTGCATTTTTGGTTTGTTTATTTGTTTGTTTATTTGTTACTGTGGACAACATAGCTTCTTTTGGAGCTACTTATCACAGAATCATAGAATGGTTTGGGTTGAAAGGGACCTTAATGATCATCTAGTTCCACAACCCCTGCCATGGGCAGGGACACTTCCCACTAGACCAGAAGGTGTAATGAAAAGACCAAGTGGACTAGACCAGTCTTCCTGGTGGTTCCCATCCTAAAGAGGAATTTGAGATCACTTGAAAACCCTGAGCATTAACTCTTGGTTAGCAATTTATAATGATGCAAAGGTAAGTTACTTCATGCTCACATTTTTTCCTTGCATGCTCCAGAGCTCTATATGAACACACTCCCTGAGGACTGAAATTTCAGTGGAGACACAACACTTCTTGTATCACAACTTTGTCTTCTCACATATATTTCGAAGATTTTGTTCCAAACATTCAAATATAGTGTTGACTCCTGACTTCTAATGATTATATTAAAAGAAAACTAAAATCTAGGTGTCATGGTAATTTGCCTCTTTGAGAGATCAGGATTTCACCTGTGTCTAGCATTAAGCAGCTAAATGGAATTCCACTGTAGTGTAACCCTCCATCTGAAACTCACGGACAAGATATGATCTTAATTAACTATACCAAATCAACCAGAACAGCTTCACATTTTCAGGGTTTAATTTCTTGCCCATTAGTAATTTTGCCTTTAATCTCTTCGGAAAAGAACTCTGTGGACTTTGCAGAACTTCCTATATAGTGTTCTTACAAGCATCTTCATTTAAAATAGCCTTTTCATTTCTAGTTGTCTGCAATGACAAATCTAATTAATATTATTTGCGTATCCTGCCTCTGTATTCAAAGCAATAAAGGTAGGATCACTGAAAATGCTGAGCTTTCCATTTAACTTTTCCAGGGAGATCCTGGGGCTAACAGTAGTGTTAGTGGTCCTAAAGGTGAAAAAGGAAGCCTAGCACCACAGGTAAGCAAGTAGTTCTATAATTATGGAGAGAGGATTTGCATAATTGCTAAATTGTATTGGCTGTCCAGTGACCAAGAAGCTCTTTTTTTTGTTTTGTTTTGTTTTGTTTTTTTTTTTTTTTTTTTTTTTTTTTTTTTTGGTTTTGTTTTTTTTTTTTTGTTTGTTTGTTTGGTTTTTTTGGTGTGTATGTGTTTTGTTTGTTTGTTTGCTTTGTATTTTGCCTCTAGTGTTTGTCTGCAGCATAGAAATCTTTGAGAAGTGTGTGATACAGTATAAAAGAAAAAAAATAATTAAAAATGTTTACAAAGATTATGGAAATATTCTCATAATATAGACCTGAGGGAAGATATGGACTAGAATATATTATTCTATCACAAATTTACATCAGCCACCTGAGAGCCTTCTAGTAATGGGTTATAAGGCTACTATTAAAAATCATGCTGGTAAAAATGCATTGGGTATCAACAGACTATATGCATTTTGCTATGGAACTGCTGTTTCTCAGGATGGTGGGTAAACACCATTTTGACCTGTATCAAGAATATAAGAGCTGGATTATGTGCTTATATAGCAATGTTTCAGTTTTTAAGAGGTCTTTGAAGAATACTGCAAGAAAAGAAACATAACAGAAAAGCAGAGCCCATTTCTCTATTGCACTTTATTTGGAAAGAATAAGCAAAGATGATAAGTAGTTGGACAGTAGTATATAAATGATGGTGCATAAAAGCTTAAGAAGGTGAGAACTAGCAACACATGAGAAAAATCCACTATTTTAGAAGATTAATCCTATCAGAATAAGTAGGGTTTTGTGCACGTGCTTGGACACGTGTGTGCATATGTCTATGTAGAGTGTGATAATAATAATAATAATAATAATGGCCAGTCTTCACGAGCGAAGATTTGGGAAAGGTCATTAACCCTTCGAGCCTGCGCAGTGGATTTTTTAGGTGAGACCCAGCGTGCGCTGAACTGAGCCCACCCTTTAATCGTGAGGTTCATCTGCCGGGGCCGAGCAAGCTTGGACAGTGGCAGTGAGGGTCTCAGGACGTAGGTTTGTTTAGAGTGACCTTCTCTTAGATGGATTGCCTTACAGGGCTGACGAGCTCCATCTGCCCGGGGGGCTGGGAATCGAACCCGGGTCGCAGCAGTGAAAGTGCTGCACCCTAACCACTAGATATTATAGAGTGTGATGGAAGCAGTAGAAAAACTGTGAGGGTTAATTTTTGGAGAATAATTGGGTTTTGATGACTTGTTTAAAGCAGATCTCATCCCAAGTCCAACTGAAAAGCTGAAGTCAACAAAAATTATTTCATTCAAGTAGCCTTGATGGAGTATCAGCTGTTAATAACTGATGGATTGGAAGTCCAAAGCAAGCATGATCTGTCTGGTTTATAATTTTGTTTTCAAATTATTTGCAGAAAGCAGGGGTCAGTATTTAGCATGACACAACTGATTGCGATGAAAATACTTAGAAGAAGAAACAAAGAAGTAATGTATAAAGAAGAATGTGCAAGTACAAGAAAGAGGCAAGGATGTTTAAAGAGCTTGGTCATTATTTTGTTTTGCAGGGAGATCCAGGCCCACGTGGACTCCAAGGAGAGCAGGGTGATGCTGGCCCTGATGTAAGAATAGTAACCAATATGGGATGAAGTTACTGTTAAAAAAAGATACAATGGGATTCCTTTGAGAAAACTCCTTTTTTCTCTTCTTCGTGTTATCCCACACTTCAAACTCCTGCAAGGAGAGGGAACAAAAATCTTCTAATATTTTCCTAGTGAAACATACTTGGCTTAAAATTTAGTAGCTTGTGTTCATTGAAATGTTTTGTATTCTTTAAGATCAGAAATTTGCTGTCCTGTTAATTTTACATCTGATTCATGCGAAGTTGCGAGCCTTAAACTCAATGCAACCTTTTCTATGAGCTTTAATTGCTTTATAATTTTGCTGTAGGTAAATCTATCTCTTCTTCCTCCCCATGACTACAAGTTTTGTATGCCTGTTCAAGCATATATATAAACACACTGGCAGCTGCTCTTTTTTGTTCACTGGAGACTGGAAATTATGAAGGGACCTCTTCTTGTCCGTCAGAATGGTGCTTGATGCCAAAATCTGGAATGATGATCACTCCTCAGTCAGGCTGCAGAAACATCCTAAAGGCTTCTGGTGATAGGAGGTTGAACAGTAACATTCACTAGTGCTGCTGAGCAGTGTGCAGCAGGAAGTGGTGCAAACCTCTTAGCTCAGAGGGAGAGAAGAGGGCTTTTGTTCCATTGATTTTAGCCAAAGGGCAGCTGACTGGGAAGATGTTTTCCAGAATTTTGTTGAAATGTCTTCCCTCTGCACTCACTAAGGATCTAAAGCCTTCTTTCTTTTTTGTAAGGCTTACTAGCATAATAATTTCTGTCCCAAATCCACTCTTTTCTCTTTTTTTACCTTAAATCTTTCTTTTGGAATAATCTCTGCTTTCTATAAGCTGTCTTTGATTTGACAGTATATATAATGTACTTTATTATAAGCCGTTGTTTCACATGTTGCTCAGTGTTCTGGATGTAATCTCTCGTGCCACTCCTTCCTAGGGTGCAGCAGGTCGAAGAGGCCCTCCAGGTATAAAGGTGAGTGGCTGATGCTGCTGCTACCCATCTGTATGCAGCTACATGTCCAGCCTCAGTGTTTGCTCCTCTTAAAGGGAAAGTTTCATTGTGATCCAAGACACAAGTGCTTAAAAATCAAAAGTCTACCTCAAGCCAGGGCAGCCTTTGGATCTCAGGTGGATGTACTAGAGGCCATCCTGACTTGAAGGATTTAGAATTGGAAAAGAGTTTTCATCAAAATAAAAGGACAGCTACTGTTATTATTAGGGCAAATGTGGGAAAATAAGTAGAGAAGAGACTCACTAAAGATGACAGGGTTGTGTAGTCAGGCTCCAAAGTCTGACAGTTTATTCCTCCTTTGCTGGATGCACACAGATATATGCATGATGCGCACACGCAGCACAGATAAAATTAAGGCAATGATGCTTTGCTAAAAATAGATGTAACAGTGTTAACTGGAGCTCTGAAAATTGGCTCGAAGCATATAAACTGATCAAGGTTTTGGAAAGAATTTAATTTCCAAAGTCAATATCTGAAAGAATGTAGTGTGGTTTGAATGCTGGTATAGGATGTAAGGAATAGGTCAACCCCAGTGCACGCTGATTGATCATTCCAGGAAGATCCTCTGGTGGAAAATGTCTGTCATTGTTAGATGGCAGCCCTGGTTTTCCTAGATCTATACCCCATAGAGTCTGGATCTCAGTAAACTTTACAGAGGTGTACTTGGTAAAGACATCACTGCCATTCTCTTAAGCAATGATTCAGGTAGTGTTCTTGGAAAAGAAACCTTGTTTGTCTCTGGGTATAAATTACAAAATACAGTTATCAAAACACATCTAAAAGCAGCTATATTCAAGAGTGGGTTAGTGCAAGTAGAAATTCTAGGAATTCTCAAGTATAGGTTATATGAAAACATTACAGGAAACATTGCTTTAGCACAAGTGGTTCCCATTTGATTCAGTCTCTCTGCAGTTTCTGATGGAGATAAGGGAGACGGTATATGCCTTGGTATAGCATTTCCCTTCTATCTTAGTGCATATAAACCCAGGGAAACATTACAATTTCATGTATGACACTGTCAGACCAGCAGGATGGAATATGTCTCGAAGTCCTGCCTTGTGTTGGAGTCTAGGGAATGGGCAGAATTGTAGCTCCTGAATAAATGTGCAAACCAGCATTTTGAGTAGAGTTTGTTCTATGCAACTCTTCACTCACAAACATGGCCAGGGCAAAATTTGGACCAGCTTTCCCCATCTCTTATTTCCAAATCATACTCATACAATATCAGTGCAGTCATAGTATCAAAGAGGAGACAGGATGAAGTGCAAATGCCCAAGTAGCAGTTCTTTCAAAGTCCTTGCCAAAGCCCTGTTTCCTTTATCCAGGTTCACAATATGAAGTGTTTGGCATGTACAAAACATGCTGTTAGAGGACAGCCAGTAAAAGTTTGATAAGTTTGCTCAGTTTCTCAGGTTTTTAATTGTGGATGCAGTATGTAAATTGGAGTTCTCCCTGTGTTCTTAATTTGGCAAAAGGTTAATGATTTTTCATGAAACTTCTGCCTGGATTGAGTGAGGTTTTTTTTGTATCAGCAGCAAGCATTTAAAGTGAAGACCAAGTGTGAAATGTTAATAAATAATACTGAGAATAACCATAGCGATGCAATATAGAACATAAATTTCAGCAAAGGAAAAGGACTACTGGGAGGGCACAGTGACTTTTATGGCAGAAATATTTCTTCAGCAGCACAGTGTTTGATTTGCCTCTGATTTCTGGGCTTCCTGTCCCTCTCCTGTTGGGAGGAGCAGTTTTGCTGTACCTTTATTACTCTCTTCCTGTGTGCTGCAGCCAGATAACACAGGGTTTTTACATTTAAAGTGATTCAAATTAATATTTCACTGGGAAATGACAATCAGAAGTGAGAGTCCTGTAAGTTCCCTAAACTACAGTCCCGTCACATCCCAGCTTTTTGCAATATACAGGCATGCCTTGTGCCAAAACCCTTGTCCCCACCTGGTTTCTCAAAGTCATGATTTAGATTTCACTTTGAGAATCCAGAATTTTCACTGCCTGGAGTATTGCAGGTAGGAATAGACTGGAATATTCTGATACTGTCTGCCAGTAACGGAGAAAGCACCAAGCTTTGGCTACAGGGATCAGACTAGCTTGAAAAAATATGAGCATTTTATAGTTCCTGTTTCCTATTTCTATCTCAGAAATTATTTATAGGGTTTATGAAGACATTTTAGATTAAAATATTGAAGAATATTCATCAAGCCTGCCTCTTAATTATTCCAATTCTTGCCTAAACATTCAGAAATCCATTTCTTAGGTAATTATGAAACTTCGTGCACTTCCTCCCCCCCTTTTGATTGCTGCTTAACTCTAAAAATATTTGTTTATGTTTTTCTGTCAGGTACCAGCAGAAAAAAATAGTCCAAGTAACAGGATTACTGAGGGTAACAGGACAAAACTGGACTCTGTGAAAATGGAATTGTGCCTTGTTGTTGTTGCACTAAAGCACAAGAATGCT